CCTTAATATTTTGTTTTTCATATGATAGATATATACCCTACAAAATAATTGCCAAATTCTTATGTCTAACTGTTAATTTTTTTAAAAGTAATAGATTCATTATAAAAATGAATTTTGCTGAACTTTCCCTTCAGTTTGCAGACTTTAAATTATTCATATTTCAGAAATAAGTTATATAATACCTTGTAAACCCTATCACTTCACGCCTACTCCCTAAGATTTTATTTCTCATATGATACATGTATATTAGAATAATAAGTCGATGAACTTGTGAATTTTTTGAAGATTTACTTTTATCTAGTTATTTCTAAGTCAAACTTTTCGTCAATGACAAACTTTCAAATAAAAATACTTACTTTCTGAAAACAAGGTTCTTGCAAAAGAAGTTTTCGGCGAGGTATCGAACTATTCTCTTATACGCAGTATTTATACTATCTCTTAAATTGAAAACAGAGAAAAAAGGATATTTCAAATTAACAACTTTAAAGAACAAAAGTTATATATATAAGTACAAAAACAAAATTCTTATAATTTTTAAATTATTTTTGAAAATTAATTGTTTTCAATTCATTTTTAAATATTTTTTTATTCAAGGTACTATGTAAAGATATCAATGTATTATTGGAAATTAACTGTTTTTGATTCATTTTTAAACATCCTGTTATTCAAGGTACGGTCTAAAAATATTAATATATAAATAAGAATTATAATTATATATATATTATATAATTATAATTTTAAGAATTATATATTTTTACAGATTTCACACTAACATTTTGATAAAATGGATAAAATAATTGAATATAATTGTGTTATAATATCAAAAGTAGGAAGAAAAGACGTTTGCTATATCAATAAACATTCAATATAATTAGTAAAAAATATTTATGTATGAAATCTTATCGTTATTTTCTTCTTAAATATAAAATAATACTATTACTAATTTTTATTTATATAAAATTACAGAATGTGATTCTAATAGATTTTGAAGCATTTCAAGTTATCGACAGTTGGCCATTAAAAGATTTTACTGTCCTATAGAAGCTGTAATAAACATTTTTATAGATTCTGTTAAAAAGTATCAATTATCAGCGAAAGATCAATGGCAAGTCGATTTTCTACCAAAAAAATTCATGGATTATAGTTTATAGACGAAAAAACATCGGATATAACTGGTTGGATTAAACATAGTAATTTACGAAATTTATTAAATTATTTCACAACGTATAATGAATTATTTTTATTTTAAGGTGGATAGATAAGATTAAAAAAAAATTTTTAAAAACTAGAACTACAATTATTTAGACATCGAACTTCTTCGGTGTCAAACATCAGATAATATTTAAAAAATTGTTATTGCCAAAAATATTATAAAAAGCATTTTTCTCTTTGCGATATTTAATAAATTAGTAACAAATATAATTTAAATAATTATTATATTGAACTATTTCCCCTATTCTACTTTGTCTTATTGTTAAAATATTATTTTAAGTTGTTATGTTTTAATTTACTTGGATATTAGAACAAATTATAAAAATGATTATTTCAAATTAATTTTATGATAATTAGAAAGAATATATTAAAGTTTGCCTTACTGTTTAAAGATATTTTATAAAATGAATTAAGAAGTTTTCTGAATGCTAAAGTTATTATTCCTGATCATTTGATCTAAAATTATTGTATCTGAAATGATTGTTTCAAGATGTTTTATAAAAAGTAAAATGAAATAAAAAGCTTTCTAAATATTTATAATCTTAATTTAATCGAGAAATTTTTTATTTGAAAATAATTTATTTTTTGAAAAATTATTAGGTGCAGAAATTTCTTGGTTTAGATAAACTGAAGAAAAAAATAGAAACACTTAAATAAACTGTAACGTAAAAATAAAAATTTAAAAATAATTTCAGTGTTATATTATTTCAAACTGTCGTGTACCAGAATATTAAGACAAATATCCATCAAGAAAATAATTAATTCTAGTATTGTTGATGATAATAAAAAAAATTCATTTTGGTGTTATATCATTTTATACAATTATTGTGTGTTAATTTTATTCGATATTAAAACATTTAATTCTTTCTTTTTTATAAAAATTTACTTGAATATTCCTAACATTCTGATTATTTCCATTGAGTAAAAATTTCTTTTGTGATTAGAAAAATTAATTTTTTGATCTGAAATAACTTCATTCGACAAATTTTTATTTGCAATTTTAATTTCATTGACATCTGAAATTAATTTTTTGATAACCACTACTACTACTACTACACTCAAACCACTACTACTTGTGTAGAAAGCACGATTTTGTTTACCCTTTTTAAAGCTTAATTAATAACAGTTGTGTTTTCTGTCAAAATTTTTTAATATTTTGTAGGATAGTTGATGTACAAAAAGATTAATGTTATAAATTTTAGTGGTTAAAACTCGAATGGGTAAAGAGAGAAAGAGGTCGTGTCATATCTCGTGTAGGGTCGGACATGATGACGATTTTACTCGTCATTAGTATTTACAATTTTTGTTTCTTTTTAAAAAACTCGTTTTTATCCTCAAAATTAATCTCTTTGCCGTTTAACAATAGTTTAAAAATATAAAATGTTTTTGAATAAAATATCGTAATAAATGGCGCCACCAAGTGTTTCCGGAAAAATTAAGCAACTCGTTGCTGAATTCTTTAGAATGTTCATTATTAAACGTATATGCATTTGTTTTATTCAGAAACACTGAAAAAATATCATTGAACAATTATACTAATTTTTACCGAAAAAAGAATAAATAGCAAAATTTATAACGTCATCGTTTGGTAAAATATTTAGCAAAGTAAATAATTTGATCGTAATCATTATTGATGTTGACAAACATCGTTCATTGCGTTGTACGGTAAGTTGAGTACCATCGTAGCAGTTTCAGAATTATTAGGAAAAGAAAATTACGGTAAACAACATTAATAATTAAATTATTTCTTTTTCAGTTGGGTTTTCCCAATAATAAACGAGGGAAGAAAACGAGTTTTAAAGGAAGAAGATTTATACAAATGTTCAAAATATCATACTTCAGAGTATCTTGGTGATCTGCTTCAAAGGTAAGTTAGTTATTACTAAGTTGTGGACATCGATATTTTAGTTACTGCTACCTAATTCTTTCAGATTTATTTATTATTTGGATAAGACTAATCAAATAAAATAGAACAAGCGAAGGTTATTATATATATATATATATATTAGCCATTATTACTTAGGTACTGAATATATTCTGACTTTGGGTGCGGTGTCTCTTTAACACTGCGTTACGATATGACACAACCGAGTCTCTCAGGACTCGGAAATCACGACTTTACGTCACGCGATCGATCGCGAGTAAGGATTGGATTCGGAGTTAATGAGGAGAGAGACGAGGAAGTGATTCACTCGGAACTCCGGCTCTTACTATCCCAGGTTCACCGCCCCGTACTTTATTTTACTTTCCTTAACGACCAAGGGCCATTTAGGTAATTCAAGGTCAGTCAAGTTATATTATTTTAAAAATTTGCCAAAAATCATGTTATTGTTATATTCATATGAAAAAAATCACATCACATTTACTAATATGTGTAGTTTTAAATATGATATTTATAAATAAAATTAAAAAATAAATTCGAAAGAAAAAAAATTACACATATCAGAACTGACATCTATCTGTGGAAATTTGTAACATTTTTTACAATTTAACACTCTTCAGTTGTGTAGTTCGTTCTTGGCACTAAGCCAGAACGATCTGAAATATTGTTCTGTACGATTCGACATAACATTTATCAATGTATCATTTTTAGTTTTAAAAATATCACAGATTATATCAATACTTTGTTTGAAATCAGAACTTCATTGTTCTACAAACCGACATAAAAACTAATATACAATGTTTACTTTATATCGGACAATAATATAAATTTTTGTAATAAAAATATTATTACCAGTAGTAATACATTTGACATTGCTAATATTTTAAATATAATTTTTAAAAAAAATTAAAAAAATATATAAAATCACAAAAATGAGGATAACGATTTAAATCGTTATAATATTTTCACTTATTATAAATGAATAAATTTATTATAGCATAAATAAACTTATTATAGTAATATTATTGCATAAACATACTGAAAATATAATAAAAAATTATCAAAATATATTGAAATGAAGAAAAAAATCACAAAAAAAAATTTTTAAGTCAGCGAAAGCCACCTGGACGCAAATATGTGAAACAGACGGTATAGAAGACGTTACCGTCAAGTTCTGGCATCTGTTGGCGAAAAATTTTAAAATTTTCGAATTTTTACAGGGTGTCTACGAATTGACACCCTGGTGAATTTGAAAATAAAATAGGGTATCTACGAATAGACACCCTGGTCAAATAAGAAGAGACTACAAATATATTGTTTATATCAAGCACGACTAAAGGTTCCATTGATTATTACTAGCCCGTTCAAAAGAGAGTGTTTACAAACGACGATCGCGTGTTGATAAATACCCTCTTAAAAGACGTGGTGTAGTAAACCTGGATTCTGGCACTTGGATGATGATTATCTAATGTTCTGGATGTAGTAACACAGAGGGTGAACTGATTATTAAAACAGTCCACAAATGAATATTTAATTGCTTCACGGTTGGGTAACGTTCAGAAGTAGTATTCGGAAGATAAAGGGACAAGTTCTTCCATTCCCAGTTGAACCAGTAGAAGACGACTGCCTGAATTCTCATCGCTCTCTCTGGTTATTGGGGATTTTTCCTTCTTGAGTTTTTCCAGGAAGTCAGGAGTTTATTGCCAAGGGCCTGGCATCCAATACTGGAAATTTATCGAAAGTTCCGGGTGATACATTAATGAGTAGATGGATCATCTTTAACAAAGAAACAAGTCCTTAGGAACTAATTTTATTGATAGCTCTTGTTAAAAAAGTCGAAGTCAAATGACGAAAAGTTGTAAAATGATCAAAGGTGAAGATAACACTTTCTTGAGGGTCCCGTTGTCCCTCACATCACGTAGCATAGCATGTAACAATATAAAAATTTATTGCAAAATCAAGTATATATTATTTATTTGATTTACAGTGAAAACTTCAATGGAGTCACAACTACAATATTATTTACTTTTTCTAGATTCCGTTCGAATTTCTTTACTTGAGATTTTTTTATAGACAAAGTAACCTACAAAACACATTATTTCGACTTTTTCATCGAACGGAGTCTAATAACGAATTTACTCTTTATTAACATTTAATTATTGTTGTAACCAAATGTTGTAAGGCAAAACAACTGGTTCCTAAATTTTTTTGAAAATTTTAGGGTTTATAACGCCGAGTGTATCAATGGCTGTGACGGGTACGTTTTAAATCCATCCAGTTGATACTTGAACTTGAAAGTAAAGTTGAGATAGCTATCCTAGTTGGACTTAGCCATGTGAAAAGGGAAGGGTATAGAGGGATGAGTGAGGGGTAGATTGATAAAAGAGACGTAGTGGGATAAAAGAGGGAAAAAAGAGGTGGAAAGTGGAGGTTGAGTTTGGGATTACAATTTTGATTAGCATCGCACTTACAAAAGAAAACAGTCGTTGGTACAAATAATTTACAGAATGCCTTTTTAGCTAGACGGTTAGAATAGTGAATACAGATAAAAATGTACATGGCAGTGGCCTGTTACCACTGGTAATCTCGACAAAAAAGTACTACACTAAACACAGGTACTTCACTAGTAGTATGTCACATAAAAGGACCATGTTATGTTAACAGAAGACCTTGTTGACAAGACTGCTGATTGGAGCAAAACACAGAGAGTCACAGATGCAATCTAAGACCAGTACAAGGGATGCTACGCGTGACACCGCGGGAAACACTTACTAAGTGCATGTCCGTGGTTTCACAGAAGCAGGCAATGAAGACCACTGGACAGATTCACCAGTCAAACAACTACAATGCTGGTGACAAGAGTGGCGATCGCTCCAGCTGCCTGTACAGAGCGGAACAGCAGTAGGATCCCAACATGTTGTTGCAGATGGAGTCCGGAAAACCAGTTAGGTTTGATGTAGGCATGAGTTATACTCGAAGCGACTACAAGACTTTACAAATTTGTCAAACAGCTCAAAGATCTCTTGATCCTCACAGAGAGTGTTGGGTTCAAGAGGCCAACGAATCTCTTTCATAGACAGTGGTAGATGAATTCTTCCTGCTATCTTTCATACAGAATACAGTGAAAGATGTAATGGAGGGCGTCTCCTTTAGAGACTTCATCACAAGTGCAATTATCATTTTTGATCTTTTTGAATCTTGTAAGGTAAGAGGGGAAGTTATTATGACCTGTCAGGCATTGCATGATGGCATGGAAAATGAAGTAGCTGAGAGCTTGTCTTTTATTAATCGACAGAAAAAACTTGTAAGTGGTTCTGCCAGTGGTTGAGGTAGCCCAATCCTTTTGCCACTCCTCCATTATACAGTCTCTGATATTGCTCTTGATATGGATGATAAAAATTTTAGAAAAAGTGGTGGGGGTGTCTGTTGTGGTGACCTTTTTGCCAAGGGCCTCAGCATGCTCATTGCCTTTATCACCTGTGTGCCCAGGCACCCAAATGAAACTGAGTTGAGCAAATTTGCTGAGATTTCTGGCAAGATGTCTTACCTTCACACCAGTTCTTGTGAACTTATTATTGCTCGAGAGGATATTAATCACATACATACTGGTGTTGATACATATGCTGCCATTGTAGGTCTTCCTATTTTTAGTGATGGTGTTTAGAGCTTTATAAACCGCTAACAGTTCTGCCTGGTTGTTAGTACAGTGCATGTGCAGCCAGTAATATTGCTGATGCTGAATCTCATTCTCACTATCATAGATGACGAAGGCTGCACCAGTACCCTTATCATTGCGTGAGGCATCTGTGTAGGTGTTCCAGTGAGCTCTGCTGTCACTATGATTGTTTCTGACATTAAGGTATACCTGCTTGTCTCTCCGGGTGCCTTCCGAGAGTACTTCCAGTAATGTAATTTTCTATCTTGTAATTAATTATGGAGTCAATCGAGTTCGCACTATTAAAAGGAATCAATCCCTTGCTACAGAGGTTCTGTATCTTTTTGGTGGTAATATTCTGATGGTTTATGGTCAGCATGATCCACTGCCAGAAGATCTCTATAATTCGTATTTGTATGGGGATAATGTTAGCTATAACCAGTAGCACATTGGTGGAGGCCGTGCGATATGCCCTACAGATTCTAATAGCAGCATGTCTCTGGATAGACAGTCAGTGCTGGCCTGAGGCAAGTTTTAGGATGGAGCGAGATCCTATTATGGCGCCCTGGGGTGGAACCCCGCCCACGCACTCGACTTGCGCACGTCTCAACAGATAAGGCCATTTACATACTGGCCACACGCATGCAATTAAAATACCGAAAAATGAAAAAAATATTTTTTCTTTAATTTTCTTTACCACTGAGGCGCCCCCTAGGACTTAGTGCCTGGAGCAGCTGCTCTGTTTGCCCTATGGTAGGGCCGGCTCTGTAGACAGTAATTTCCTCTTGATATAGGCTAATGCTGCTCTGTCCCCTGAAACCTGGGCCGCATACAGAATAGCAAATTCTATTGCTCCCCTGTAGATTAATTTATAGTTTCTACTACCAAGTCCCCATGTGTTTCTGGAGATGTAGTTGAAGAGGTTTAATCTCTGCTGAACTTTTTTACAGATTTCTGTGATATGGATCCTCCAACTTAGCTTTGAGTCCAAGTAAACCCCAAGGTATTTAAGGCAAGACACACTTTTTAGTTTTTTCTAGTCCAGGTAAATGGCCAGTGGACGCTGCAGCTACTTCCTCCTGGAGTTTTTTGTGCACCCCATTGCTTTGCTTTTATTATAATTGATCAGGAGTTTATTCTTTTTGCTCCAGTTACTGACCAGCTCTAGAACCTCATTAGCCTTCTTTTGTAGAATGTAACTATTCTAATGCGCTATCATTATTAGCGTATCGTCAGCAAAGCCTTCTGCCTTGATATCTGGGTCCGAGTGAAGGCTACAAAGCAGATCATCGTATACCAGGTTTCAGAGTCCTGGGCCAGTTCTGGAACCTAGAGGGCAGCCTCTGTTAACATTGTTTTCCAGTTTAATTGTCTTTGAGTAATAGCCTGTAGTCCTATTTTCCAGGTAGCTGCTAGTCAACCTATATATATATATGTCGCTCGGGCAGTTAGTTTGATACAAATGATGCAATATGGAAGGCCACCATTGGTGGTTGAATGCTTTCCTAAAATTAACACTTATCAGCAGAGCATGTCTATCGCTGTCCCATGCCTGATTAACAAAGTCCTTTACACTCTGTATTGTGTGGATGGCTGAACAGCCAAGGCAGAACCCATATTGGTTCTTGTGCTGCAGGTTGTTGCTACTTAAGTGCCAGTTTATTCTGCCAAAGAGAAGACCATACACGACTTTTCCCATTGTTGGCAACAAGTTGACAGGTCTGTAGTCACATTCCATAGTTGGGTTGTCCACTTTTGGAATAAACTTAAAATTTGCCTTTCACAGATCTGGGAAGTAGGCATGGTTTAGGCAGGCATTATAAAAAATCATGAAAGCAATAGGGATTTGTCGAAACGCTGCCTTCACCATTTCTGTGGTGATATTGTCAATGCCCGGCGCTTTCTTGTTGGCCTTATTATTTACCATATGTTTGACTTCTCGAAACGAAAACCAACAGTCATCATTGCTGTTCTGGGGGACGGTGATGTTATTTCTTACTTCCTCATGCATTCCCAGCTTGTTGTCTGTGCTATCTTTTGGGAAATTACTCTTAAGTAGGTTCTCAACATTTGCAAGAATATTATAGGTACTGGTGCCATCTTTCTTAGTGAGATTGGGGATAGTCAGTCAGTCTTTATTTAAAGTGCATACTTACATATCTAGCCCCAGTAGGTGCATTACCAGATAAGTATACATAGAAATTATTTACATATTAACAGTGCAAATCAATAGCACACAAAACATTATAGTCAATTGAAGTAATGAAAAGCAAAATAATATAAATACAGTTTTACATAACACAATAAACAGTAGCATAATAACGTACAGCATTTACAATAAGATATATAGTGGATTATTCAAGTATAATATCTTATGGTATACATATTAATAAGAAATTAAACACATTGATAGTAGATCAAATGTTAACAATTATTTATGGTTATTTCCGGTTACGATAACAAATATTAGAATAATAAAAATGCTTAAACTAACAAGGTAAATGTGACGTTTAACTATCCTTACATGTTATTGTTAATTGCTGTATGTATCATATAAGTATGTATTGCATATAACAAAATAAATATATATTATTTACTATAAAATATATGTACTTTACGTAAAGATATTTATTGACTATTATTAACAAATATTTATAATCTAATAATTTAAGATACTAAACAAACTTAAAATTAAAAAGTAACACATCGTAAAATAAGAAAATGACGTTAAGGAAAATAAGATGCACAGCATTGAGTACACATAGTCTCACTGAGCTCATATCTATCATTAGACAAATATAGCTAAATGCATCAGTCCATTTCAACCATTAAGAGTTCAGCGAGAAGTAAGTTGAAATACTTATTCAGTCTATAAAAGCACCAGATGCACATAGTTCAGGTGATTTCCATCTTTTGTTGAAGTAGGTTGATATCACAGATGGAGCCAATTTCGAAGAAGGCCGTAATCGCAGATATTACAATTGTCCTTTTCAACCACCAAAGTTCATAAGAAAGAACATCAGAATGTTGAAATTCTTGAACGATTATGAAAGGCATAGATAAGAGGTTAATCCCATAGTTTCGGCTGGACACGAAGATCATGATGAAGTGTGTAGGTTGATTGCACAAAAGTTGGTCACATAATAAGGTTGGTCACACAAATAAATATTGATAACAGGAGGAAAAGTTGATCACACAAAGATGTTCGAAGGTTAGACACATCATAGTTTGATAGCTGATTTGAATGCAATAAGCATCATATATATGATACAAGACTTCTATTTCTTTCTCAGGATGTATACATGGCAGAAATTAATTAATACACTATCCAACAAAACACCTAATCGAAAATCATTAGAACATGTAACTAAAATCACTTAATTTTAATTAATTAATTAAAATGCTATGAAATTTATATGTTACTTTACATATTGAAAAGGTATAAATTAGAAAATTGTTAATTATAAATTTAAAAGTTTTTAAATCTAGTACACGTTCGGTAGCCTGTTGCGAATTACGCAGGGGACTCTATGTTTTGAAAACGAAGAAATATGGTATATTTTATTAACTTATACAAAATTTAATAAGTTAATCGCCATTTGTTTCCTGCGGACATTACTCTGCATTCTGTAACAACACATGCTGCTGCAAATTGATGATCTGTTTAGGCATAATATTTACTCACGTATCAGTCTTAGAATGAAACATTACGTAGTAATACTGTATCAACATTTTATTTCCTTTCTGTAATATAGTAACGTATATAAAAGCACTTTCCATTTCTGTTTAGAATGTGGCTCCGGATTTTTAGCACTGCACTTCTCTAAATACATTCAGAATAGCAGAATATTAGCATTCCATTTAGCATTAGATATTATCGTGAATAACTTTGTACTGTATTTTCAAAACAATAATAATAATACTTGTTTTAAGACCATTACATTGATTCATAGTTGTACAAAAGTTCTAGAATAAACTTTTGATTGAAATATTGTATTCAATTTTTAGGTTTCATTGCAATTTCTTTTCAGAGAATGGAACCAGGAATTGCAGAAGAAGAATTCGAGCATACTGAAAGCTTTATTACGTTTTGTCGGTTGGAGATACTTAAGAATTATTCTACTTGTACTCATTCAGGTATTACGACAACCCATTTGAAAGACATAAAGAATGTTTTAAAATAATTGAAATAACTGATATTTCTGTTCGTTCGCAGATGACAGCGTTAGTTGCAGGCCAAGCATACTTAGTAGGATTAATAATAAATTGTTTTGAAAACAGAGAGGAACGGAATCAACACACCATCTACGCTACATTTGCGGGATTTTTTATTCTACTTGCGATATATTTCTGTATACTTGATATTAGTGCGTTTATAACTGAATTATATGGAATGAAGTTAAAGATAGCTTTCTGCACTCTTATATATAGAAAGGTGAGTAGCAATTATAATGTGTTACAGGCATTCGATTTATATTCTTTTTACGTTAGTGTATTTTTCTTAAATGGATCGATGAAATTAAAGACAAATGCAAATCAAACTATTTACAAAAGAATTTTTTCAGCAATCGATAGTTCTGAAATTTTATTTTGTAAAGTAATTTCAAATATATTGTTAAAAATGAAATCGCAATTTATATACACCATATACAATCATTTATTTTGTCAAGAATAAGGTTTAGTAATCAATAAGCTTTTCTAAATGTGGCTACACTAATTCTGTATTAGCAAATCACTTTTCGTCCATATATTACTAAATTTGTATACGTGAGCGCTATGCTTTGGCTCTATAAAAGACTTATTCGGCGCAGCCGGAAAAGTTGTAGTAGTAATAAAAATAAGTGTGAACCGAGGGGGGTTAGAGCGGTGAGCTTCTCCCCACTTATCGGCTTCGTTGTCAGGGATGGCGTTAGGTAATTGAGTGGGAAGGGTAGTGAAGCCGTAACGAGGTGTCGGCAGTACTCAAAGATGATACAATATTAAATTAAGAATAGCATATTTAATTTTTAACAAATAATAGAGATACATCCGAGTATATTTTAAATTCCAACAAGAAGGAAATAGCAATAATGATGATAATATATCTGCTTCGCGACAATATTACACGGCCGATGTCCGTCTTTCCCGTCGGTGGGACCGCCGTAGGTCCTCTATCCGATAATTTTCTAAGTTCTAACCTAAAACCGAGAGGAAGAAGTGAAATTTTTCTAAGTCTAAACTAAATCGAGATAGAAGCGAATATTTTGTAAGTTCCTACTACGCCGAGAGAAAGAGAGAGAGAGAGAGAGAGGGAAATAAAATTTTCCAAGTCTTTACCTCGTTTGGAGCGGTGATCAGAAACTACGAAGTTACCAAAGGTAGTGGAGGCTTGCAGGTTTCGGTCTTGGAGCTTCTTCCTGACGATCGCCCGGAGGTGCGGGAGCGATCCGCTTTTTTACCCGATTAGCGTGGGAAATATCTGGGACTTTTCTGATGTAATTGTCTTTGCAGCGTGTGTTGTTTACTTGAATTTGACAGTTCTCCAGACTTATCACTGTCTCCCCGTTCTGGGTGACGAAGTTATGGTCATAATATCGTCATCTCTTGACCAATTAGCATTAAAGTCGTCATCTCCTTGGGTAGTGACTGGTCATCCGCGGTAACGTAATACAGTTTCTCATTTTACGGTTTACCCTTGCATGTGACCTTTTCGTTCACCCTCTATACAGTAACATATGTCTGTTGTTGCTAATTTGATATTTACTTGAACACCGCAGATATCTTAGGATCTAGCGATCCCTTGGGGAAACGGTAGTTATACGACGACTTCGTCCGTCTAGGAGGGTGCCGACCTTTCGACCTCTTAGTATACCGCGTCATTTCAAAGGTTTATTGCCCGGGCAAAGGGGTGAAAACGAGAGAATTGAGGGAAAAAACGACGAAAGAAGAAAGATTTTTATACGAATTTAGCACTTGAAATTCTCAAAAAAGAGTCTGATTTCTCAAAAAAGTAAGCAAATTTCTTATAGGAGTAAAAACATAAAAAATATTACAATTTTTCTTAACAGAATTTGACTTTTATGCAAAAACCTGTAATAAAATTATCTTGCTTTATCGAATGTTTAACAGCTTTGAATAAGCCTGTAGAATTGAATTGTAGTATTTAATTACATCTCAAACGTAAAGACAGATTTGGTTTTAGAAAGAAGGCAAATTAAATACAAAATTAGTTGAGTTTTTCGAAATTTGGTTTAATATATCATTTTGAGGAATTGTTTTTATTATCCGAAAATAGCATGTATTCATAGTTTTACAATCTGTATAAATGTATATACAGTCTTTCTTTCTATATCTATACATACATCTTGGAGGCCGACCGATGAAGGTGGCAGCTACCGCTCTGAGGGATTCGGGTTCGTATCCAAACGGGTAGAAAAGTCCCCAGGAATTTTTCGGGATGGTCCGTCTGGATATGTCGTGTCCTGTCCATCACTACCCGGACTGGCCGAACTCATTATAAGCTTGCAAAAAAAAACTTTCTTAGTGGCCACAGAGCGGAGAGTTAAATTTATATATATCTTGAAAATAATTCATTAAATTTACATTTATAGCTATGCCAAGTTTATCTTGCTAATATGTAAAACATTTTAGGTGACTTATGTTTGATTTAGAAATTCTTTCAAACGAATCACCTTCATATAAGTGAATAGCTGTAGTATGATACTTCTTCATGCCGCATCGATTATGAAGACTCGGTAGAATGCGTGCATTCCAATATACTGATAACCTAATGACAAATAGTTAATATTTGAAACAATAATTACATTTTATAAAATGTTAGAAAATGCATGTGATCGAAGTTAAATCAATCGTTGTACTTCTTAATTGCACAATTCGTTAACATTACGATTTATCTCACAGGAAATTATTTGAAATATACGAGGCATGTCCGGAAAGTAAGTATCGTTTTGGAAAAATTCGCATAAAAATATTTTTTCAAAATAAAATACATGAAAAAGCATGTCTGAAACTATTTTTCTACATAGTTACCACCATTGTTCAGACATTTGTCATATCGGGAAACCAACTTGTCTATTCCGTCTTCAAAGAAAGATGCCGCCAGTGAAGACAGCCACTGCTGAACATCGGTTGTTGCAACAATCTCATGCAAAACAGTATTTGAAATTTTTGGAAACGCATCACAAAGTAATCTTATTGTGAACCGTCTGTTTTCATGAATTTTTTCATTCACTTTTGCAACCAAACCATCATTGACAACAGAAGGCCAGCGACTCCATGCTTCGTCATGAACATCAGTGCGTTCAGCATTGAATTGTCGAACCCACTTTCTAACCATTCCATCACCCATTACATTTTCATAATAAATCTCTACAAGTTGACGATGAATTTCAACTGGCTTAACAATCTTTGCGTTCAAAAACCGTATTACAGAATGCACTTCACATTCGGCGGGATCGGCAATAGTCTTAAACATTTTGAACGCTCACTAACAATTGGAAAAACAACACAATCCGGCAGTAATCGCGTCACTGGACTGACAATCAACTAGAGAGACGTATGCGCAAACGCTGAACTGCGATACTACCACTGCAATGACGGTAGAACGAAACGGTACTTACTTTCCTGACACGCCTCGTATAACGATATCAATCACATGGAGTTGTCATTTTGTTGGATGCAGTTTGGATAACACCCCTGTTCAGCTGCTGACAACTCTTTTAAATTAAAGCAATGGCCCTCGATGAGTTCATGGGAATTTTTTATTTGATTAATAATTATTATTGAAAGAGTATTACGGATTATAATACAAGGTATGCTGAGTATTGCTATTAGGTTTATAAAATAAACTCAAAAGAGTTTAACTGCAAAATACCAAAGAAAGCTGATGATGATTTATAACTTAGACAAGTGTATTTTGTTAGAAAATTTAATCAATTAGATTGTTTGAGAACTTTCCGAAATATTATTCTCGTATTTTTTTTTTTATTTAATGATGATATAATTTTCTAAAAATATTTATTTTACATAAAATTTTAATTTGCAGGCAATTAGGTTAAGTCCTTCGTCTCTGGAAAGATCGAATGTAGGGCAAATGGTAAATCTTTTAGCAAACGACGTCGGCAAATTCCAAAATGTAAGTTAAAGACAATTATCTAAACCTGTTTGATTAATGTATACCACGTGCACCCATATATTTCACCGGTGTATTATATAAACTCGACAAAAACATTTCGGACAAAAAGTCATTTAAAAGTCGTTTTAATATATCTTCAGTAATATCGATAAGAAAAATTTTTTATGCTTATGATTAGTTTATATCGCTAAACTTTGATTATAACTAAGTATTTTTACAATTGACTTATACAACAGCCTTCATACGATCGTTCGTTGTGTCAACAAAACGATGTCGTTCATTTCGAGTGATTTCACCCCAAAATTTCTTGACTTTTTGATTAAACCATCCACATTTTTTTGAGAACTTTTCTTAACACGTTTCTAATTTTACATCATATATTCTCTATAGGGAACTGCTAAGTCAGAGCTGCTAATATGAAAACATTAAAATGCCTATGTTTAATGTTTTCATATTACGTTAAGCCAGCCAAGAGTCGACGGTTTTAGAAGTGTGGCAATTGTACTATTCTGATAGAGAATAATAGTCCGTGATACAGTAAATTTTTAATGATGGTAACAGGTTTTCGTCAAGAATTCGTAAGTATTTCGCTGCATTTATTGGTCCCCTTTGTTGATTAAAAGAAAAATTTCTCACATCTTCGCTGACACGCAACCCCACACTATACTGCTTGCTGCGGCTTTTATACTGCGCAATACACAGTCATAATTGAATGCCTCTTTTTTTCTGATGACTTTAATTTTTCTAATTGCTTTTAATGCAGACTCGAAACTTCGCGTGATCATTGTAAATAACCTGCTTTAACAGTTGTTGTATCCGGCATTTGTGCTTTTCGGCATTTTTAATTAAATCGCTCTATTATTTGTGTTTTTGTGAGAAAAGGTTTTCGCCTTTATCTACGTAAACAAACGACAGGACTCTATTGTTATTAAAAAGTAGTATCATTTCCTTACCTGATATAAGCTGTAGCGAAGTTTCTACAGTTGACTACTAGTTTCATTTGTTACTTCCTTTCTAGTAACTTTATTCTATTCGTTCACTAACTCAGCGAATGATGCACCTCGATTTTTAAAAATAATGTTACGAAGGTCAATGTGATCTGTTTTTATTACAGTTCTTGGTCATCCAGTTGATTTTTTACATAAATTTTACTAGTTTTTTGATATTTTGACACAATTCTTTACTCTGTGTACTTAGGAATTTTTAATCGTTTTACAATTTATTGAAATGATTTGCCCATTTCTTAAAAAGTAAAAATCAGTTCGTTTATATGAACACAGCTTTTCATTGTAAATACGTAAAAATAGTTGGGGCCTTAGGTCGAGACTCCACTAGCGTAAAAAACCCTCGCCTTGAAAAGTTTTAATCACGTGAGCGTTTTCGCTTGGATTTCGGTGGAGGTTCGGCTAGCGAAGTTTTTACGGCAACGGTGCTGTTCCAAATGTCGAAAGTAAATATTACTTCGCACGTGAACTGGTGGAAACTTAAGCATCGTAGTTTGATTGCTCATAATTGTCAGAGTACATCAAATATTTTAACTGGATCAGATACAAGCTGATATGATGTTTCAGCTTTTTGCCAGACAATTTTTGTTGCTTGTTGCACTCGTGAAACTAAAGCGACGCAAGCATCGTTTTTGGGTGAGACCTTTGTTTCGGAATAGAAGTTCCTCAGGTTATCATAATACACTTATGCTTGAACTTCGTTTTCGAGACCAGGATTATTATTATGAGTTACTAATAAATCAAGATTATCCCAAAATCTATTAATGCATAAAAGTTTTTATTAGTAGTAACGTGAACTTTGTTTACAGTTTCTTACGAATTACAACTGATTTCTTTGAAGTGTTATTATAATGAGTAGGAAATCATATAAGCGAGCAAAATACACGTTTTAGAGAAGCAATTTCGGCAAGAGAACGCTGGGAAATAAATTTAAGGCACATTGTATAAAATCAGGAGCTAATGACTGAGTAGCTTAATTTGTTTTAATTGGATTAAAACGTTCATGTTATCAGGTATTTTTCCAGATTTTTAGCATCAAGGAAAACATACAAAAGCTTGTCATTTGCCTTTAGAGTTGGACGAGAAATAATAGCAAAAATTGTTCAAGAAACCTGCCATTCTGTTTGGATTCAGATAAAATCCAAGTGCATGCAATTTCCATCAACACCAAATGAATGAAAAGCTATTGCAGAAAATTTTTTAAAAGCTTAGCAATTACCACACTGCTGCGGGAACATTGATGTAAAACACGTATTGATAATTTCTCCCCAAGATAGTGGAAGTGTAGGAAGTTACAAAGGAATGTTTAGTAATGTGTTGCTAGCAGTGGTAGATACCAATTACAAATTTTTATAAAGGTCATAGTGTATATAGATTATGGACACTATGGAAGTGAGAGCGATGGAGGAATATTTAGAAAAGTACACATTGGCCAAATGATAAAAACCTGCGGACTAAACTTGCCTAATGATGATTACTTTCCAAATTGCGAAATTATGTTGCCTTTTTATTTCATTCGTGAAAAAGCTTTCCCACTATCAAGAAATTTGATGCGACCATATCCTGGACGTTCTGCTATTAGCCGATCACAACGAGTCTATAACTATAGACTATGTCGTGCTCGTCGAGTAATGAAAAATGCTTTTGGAAGTTAAGTTCTCGTTTTTGCATTTTCAAACGACCATTAACGTACAGTAAAGATCACACGAGAAAGATAGTATTGGCATCTTGCATCTTGCACGATTTTCTTATAAGAGAGACGGCTTGTTTCGTTAATGCTAGAAATTGTGATTCAAAAGATGAACATAGCAACTTTATCTCAGGAAAGTAGAGTGCAACAGCTGATCATACGAGAAGTTGCACACAGATAGCAAGCAACATGTACCCTACTGAAGCAAGAGAATTAAAGAATAAATTATCAGACTATTTATATACTAGCTGTTAGCTGTGTCTTTGCCCGCGAGGATTTTGCAAGCAAACCCCACTTATATTCACTATTTCAACAACCATAGAAATTGTTTTATAATACCTACTGCCGAGAATCGAACGAACTGTTTCCAATTTGATCAATTTTCTGTAACGTTTACAATCGTTCTATAATCGAACCAATATGCAATAACAAATTCGAATTTAAAACGGTTCGAACATTTTTAAAATCGAAATGGATAAAAATATTTATAACAATGTCTGAAATGTTATTAATTTAATACACCTAAGTACTC